TTGCGGGATATCGTATTTGATTTGAGGGATATCGTATTTGATCTGCAAGATATCGTATTTGATTCGCGGGTTATTGTATTTGATTTGCGGGTTATCGTATTTGATTTGCGAGATATCGTATTTGATTTGCGGGATATCGTATTTGATTTGAGGGATATCGTATTTGATCTGCGGGATATGGTATTTGATTTGCGAGATATCGTATTTGATTTGCGGGATATCCTATTTGATTTGAGGGATATCGTATTTGTTCTTGAGGTCATGTTGATTTCTTTGAGGATGCTCGTATTTGATTTAAGTTCTCGTGTTTGATTTGTCGTATTTGATCTCTGCGGGGATATCGTATTTGATCTGGATGCTGGTGTATATTGTTTACGGGATATGGTATTTGATCCTGCTGGGATGTCGTGTCTATTTGATTTGGGGATATCGCGTGTTGATCCTGAATATCGTATTTGATTTCGCGGGTTCTTGTATTTAGGGTTTATCATTATTTGATTTCGCGAGGATGCTCGTGTATTTGATTTCTTGGGATATCGTGGCGATTTGAGGATGCTCGATATTTCTTGGGATATCGTATTTGATTTGCGAGATATCGTATTTGATTTGCGGGATATCGTATTTGATATGAGGGATATCGTATTTGATCTGCGGGATATGGTATTTGATTTGCGAGATATTGTATTTGATTTGCGGGATATCGTATTTGATTTGCGAGATATCGTATTTGATTTGCGGGATATCGTATTTGATTTGCGAGATATCGTATTTGATTTGCGAGATAGCGTATTTGATTTGCGGTTGTCAGGGAGCCGCATTGCAGGACTCCTGGGACATGCAGGAGAGTTGCGATATCTGCAGCAGGAATGCTTTCCTTCAGCCAGAGACAGAAACTGACAATAATGTGTTAATTTTGACAGTCATCTTGATTTACAGGTGTTAGTGACCATTGCAGCCTGAATTTATGACAGGTGATTGGTTTACATTTCTGAGAAGGGATAGTTTTACAATAAATATGAGAATGTCAGCAGCATGTCTATGAGGTGCTCTGTCTATCATTATGGCATGCATTCCATGAACTCATTCACCTCAGAGTCCCCATCTAGTTACACCCCTCAGACAAAACAGGGAGGGCCCCTGCTGACGTCACTGGAAACCCCTCGAGTTCGGTTTTCTAACAGTTCCTCAGCATTTCGCCCCGCCTCCTGAAACAAGCCCGGACCAATGAGCGTCGGGCTTTCTGACGCACCTTCTGTCACTCCTCAACGCCCAGGCCATCCCTCCTCAAGCGCCTCCTTTCCCGCCAGGAGTCCCGACCAATCAGAGGCGGCACAGCCAGCGGACTGCCATCAGGGGCGGGGTGGGCGTGGCGGCAGCGCGTGCTGGTGGCTGGCTCAGTCGGTGAGGCGAATTGCTCGGTGCGGACGTGTCGCAGCAAGTCTCTGTGTTGCGCGCGTGAGCAGCAGCGGGGCGCCCGGAGCTCGCTCCCCCCCCCGTGGGGTCATCTTCTCCGCTCCTAATAGACCCCCCGGGACCGGAGAGTGAGGCGAGGCAGGAGCGAAGGGTGAGTTAGGCATCAGCACCATACGAAGTAATCATGGCAGAGGGTCAGCCAGCCGGGTATACTGGCA